TTTAATTTTTAACAATAACAATAAGTCTAAAAACAAAGCTCACAATGAAGAAAGAAATAGGAAATAAAAATAATATAGCTGTATACTGACATGTACATCAATAAAGATACAGTATTGATACAACAATATAGAAAATAATAGTTATATTATAGAATATGGGACAAAGCCAAAACTATAAGTATAGGTTAAAGGATATATACAGAGCTTGAAGAAATTAATTTTAAAACTCTATATATTACCTATAACCGACTTACAGTTAGCCCCGCTATTCAAATTGAGTGCATAATGTAATTGGCGGAGTCCATTAAATTTGCTCATTTAACGTATAAATTTAATACATACAGTTGAGTTACAGCACTGTATGGTAAATATTTCGGCATTTAAACAAAATAGAGCTATTTCATTGGCAGACAAACTTTGCCGAACTATGCAAGAGGGTATGTTGTTGTGCAAACTCCCTTGTGATCTAAAAATGACACCATATGACTACACATAACATTTAAGTAGCGCATAACATTTGACCCTTTTTATGTCAGAAATTTTATCATAAAAGCAAGGAAATTAGTGTATACTTTTATGGAGAAAGTTGAGTAAGTTTACATAAAAACAAAAATTGTTTTGCAACATACATACATACATACATACATACATACATACATACATACATACATACATACATACATACATACATACATACATACATACATACATACATACATACATACATACATACATACATACATACATACATACATACATACATACATACATACATACATACATACATACATACATACATACATACATACATACATACATACATACATACATACATACATACATACATACATACATACATACATACATACATACATACATACATACATACATACATACATACATACATACATACATACATACATACATACATACATACATACATACATACATACATACATACATACATACATACATACATACATACATACATACATACATACATACATACATACATACATACATACATACATACATACATACATACATACATACATACATACATACATACATACATACATACATACATACATACATACATACATACATACATACATACATACATACATACATACATACATACATACATACATACATACATACATACATACATACATACATACATACATACATACATACATACATACATACATATGATATGTTTGCTTGTGCGATATTGATACTATTAACTCTCTTTTTACTGCAGGTGATTATAATAATACATGAATTTTTATCACGTTGACAATATTAATGCCATTTATTGTGGAGATTTGTGATGGGCAAATTAAAAAATCGGAAGTACTGTTACTGTTAAAATGCGTCTGATCTTTTCAGATAAAAGTCATTATTGACAAAAGTATCCGAATGGATTCTAGTAAGAGCGTTGCAAACAACTGGCAATGTCAAACCATAACAATATTACGGAACATTTCTTTAATGAAATTTGAATATTATGATAAACAGATTATTAACATTAAACAATACAATTCGTGACTCAAAAACCGCCTTAGAAATCTGGAGGCTTGTCTATTATGATTTCTCCACCGTATTGTACAGTAAGTTGTTAAACCTGTATATTAATTCAAATGAACCAAACACAATCAAACATGATTTCGGATTTTGATAATAGAAAAATAAAGAAAAGATTCAAGTATTTATTTACATGTTATGACATTGCAATTTTATAATCATATTACTTTTTTGCGTGACTATAGGCTTTTTTGCATATTTTGATAATATTATTATTACTGTTTTGTAATGTGAAAGGTTCTAGAGGGTAAATTTCATACTTTTCTAACTTCACAATATTTTACTTTTAAAAACAATAATTGTTATAAAAATTATCATAACAATTTGCATAAATCTTCTAGATATATATATATATATATATATATATATTTGATGTATGGGAATAAACTCTCCGATGTCTACTGTAGAGTATTGGCAGCAGTTACCTCGTTAAATTTAAGTGTGATTATATAGAAATCAGCATAATTTATATGAATATTAAATTCTATTTGATTTAAACGTAGATTGGACTTAGAACAACATCACTTATTTCTAATTTTACCCAAAGCATCATACATATGGAGCACATATGTTAAAACTTGCCTCAGTTACCTTAACAGTCGTATTAAGTGTCAGTGTTTGGCTTCGTCGTTACGTTATACTAGTACGTTATATTCAATAATGCTAATAAAACATCATGGTATGAAATTCATGTAAACTGATATACAAGAGTTATTAAACTTTCGAAGAAAGAAGATAAGACATAACCAAGAAGCTTTGGCGTTATATTTACAACAAAGATGTCGCACATTAGCTGACAGATCTCTTACAATAATTTAGATAAATATAATCTTTTGCAATGTAAGCAAGAACTACCTATCGACCCAACACAACTTGTCGATTGGTTATAAACTATTTTGAAACTAAACAAGATTCAAGGATACATAACAAAAATGAATTGTTTACCACCATAACAAAGTATTGTTTGACTAAATTCCGAAACATAATTATTATTCGCATTTGTCTTATTTCATACCACGGATTTATAGACATTTGCGGCTTATAATGAGGAACGGGGATTGAGGATCGAGGACAAGTTATATGAAGGGATTATCTCAGAATTATCTAACATTTTATAATAAACACGGTGTTTAAGTAACGGATAACACCAGCATTGTCAACGATAATTTATGTTTGTATTGCGTGATATTGTCTTTGACCTGAATAATATCATAATTCCTGTGGCTCTACTTTAGGTGAGATGTTCCATCAATAGCCCTGGCCGCCATAATTATGTACTCGCATTTGTTTAATGAGTACAAATAAAAACATGGAATTAAAGACCGGATCCCTTTTTCAAATAATGTTCTGAACGATAGTGTTCATTGCCTCTTGGGATGTTTTATTTAAAGAATAATGTAAGTGTTTCGGGAGTCTCTTAACGTAACTCGAAGAACTTGTATCTATGTTTGCATTTGAAATACATTTCTGCCACTTCCGTGAGAATCATGGTGGGATTATAAGCAACCAAAATCCTACAGAAATAAATGAACCAGATATTAAGTAAGCATGCTTAAGAGAAACGATGAAACTACATAAGTATTTACATCATAAATCGGTTACACTAAATCTGCACCGAATTCTTAATAAATTTTGACATCGTGTAAAAAATAGCTTTCAAACCCTGGGTAAATTGCAAGCAATAAATTCATCATTGTCTATTTTACTGACGCATAACGCTGATGTACTTTTAATATTTCATATATAATCTTTATCCTCCATCAGGCTTTTAGTAGACAGTCTTATTCGACTGAGGAAGGTTAATTGTTCAAGCCACGTGATACCAAATACAAGGAAATGGTACTGGCAGCTCCTGGCTTGGAGCTCAGCATTTAAACAGCAGTGAATAATGTTATCGAAGGCAAGCAATAGCCCATCTCTGTTTCATATGGGAAATATGATCGTGCACTGTTAAGAGAACCTGTTCAGGTCCTACACTAGACGGACTATCAGTATATGACTAAAAAGTGTTGAAATATCTGGAAAGAAGTGATCCCTCGGGAGCATTAAAAACAGCAAAAGAAATCATAAAAATGCAGACTCGGTTTGATTGGGTTGTACATGATGGATAATAATAGTGCAACAACCCTCATGCCCCCTAGCACCGGCTTAAGGGGGACACAACTCTCAACACTTAAGAATTCTGGCCTCAATTATCCTAAAGGACCAGAAAAATATAGCAACAGTTACATTATATAAACACTATATTAATATAGCATTAAACACCGATTCAGTAACGCAATGCACTTCAATATTTTCAAATTATATCCAGCGCTTTAGGCCGTACAACGTCTTGAAAGAGGTCTTTTGAGAATTTTGAGAAGAATACAAAAAAGGACCAAAAAAAAACCCCCAACAGTTAAGTGCAGTCCCTATGAGAAGACCGGGCATCTAAAACAAGTGCAAGCTTAAGCGGCTAACATGCAGCAGTCATTGCTAGGTCAATCTCCGATAAATCTTAACAGATGTATAAATGAGGGCCAACATTGACAGCTGACCAGCAGCGTCGCTCTCGCCTAGTCCCGAGACAACTCAAACGAGGACAAGTCTCACATGAACTGCACAACCGAGGCCGTAGTCCAGATGCTCAAGCTGCAAAACGTTTTGACATCATTAAAAGACGAAACCATTGATGCACGTCAGCGCACTAAACAAAACAACCGTCAACGCAAACGACCACTGGCTGAGCTAATTAGAAAAGTTCCGAATTTATTTAGGGAACTTGGCATAAGTTCGTCTTGCAATTACTCATATGAAAATTAAGATGTAAGGAAAGAAACACAGTAAGATATCCTGGCCTTATTTCAAGTGTTCATAATATGTGTTGAGATGAACCCTCAATATTAAAGTTACTGTTCCTCGATAATCGTTCCCGACATTATGTCTCAAATGTCTTATCGTGTCTACCAACTATGAAAACGGCAAATGTTTTGAGCAATATTAAAATATTCCGATGTTGCGATTGGAGAGATACATTGTCCGCAACATAGTAATATAATAAAATGTATAAACTATGTCATAAAGCGTTTCGCACAAATTAAATAGTCCATTACTAAATATTTTTCGTTTATTACCTTACAGGATTATGGATTCAAGCAGACCACCAACAACAAAACTACGTACAATGAGTATGCTGTGTCTGTAACAGATCCAGTCACCGTTCTTTATATCAAACATACGACGATATATAAAAATGTGTGTTTCGGTTATGAATATTTACACTTCTTAGAAATGAAAACAGCAAAACAACTTGAATGTGTTTTTGTCCGTTTATTTCATGTTATTTGCATAGCAAAACAAGTTTGGCCTTCGGGTTCGGTAAATATCACATAAGCATGTTGGAATTTATTATACACTTTATCAACAAACAATAGTTGCATTGACTTAAATTAAATACCTTTATTTGTTTGAATCATAATACATTTCTTTTAACTGAGGAAAATAATACGTTTGAACGAAGTTTCCGTATTCTTAAGCTTGATTAACCGATTTCTAATGCCTAGAACTAGTACCATTTCTACAGGAAATGTAAATGTTTTGTTTTGTTGAGAATTTCTTAATACAATTTGCAGAGTTCATGTTTGTAAGGAAATAATGTATGATTAAGTTATTCCGTTGAAATATCACTCCATGTGCTTGTTGATTACCGCGTTACAGAATCAGTATAAGCAATCATACTACAGATCGCCTCAAAACAAGCTAAGGAACAATCTACAAAAGTATGCTGTTTTGAGTTGCTTGTACAATTTGAAGACCAGTAGGGAACACTTCAAGAGGTTCGCTTTCGTGTCTGTCTTTATTTTTAACAAGTGCATTCAGTAGGCAAACACAACATCGTGCTCTGTATGTACCTTCTTGAAATTCTGTTTCTTCTAAGAGGCCAAGATATATATTAGCTCGCATCAGGTTGACAAATGCTTCAACTATTTCAGGTATCAACTTTATCTCAAGCTCTATGGAAGTAGCCATGTCGTCAATATCGTTGTAAAAGTCTGTAAAATACTCATAAATAGCTCTGAGAGGACAAACCCTTCGCAAATGCTGATCTGCAGCGGATTCCGCGTCAATAATAAATGAAAACCAGTAAAAAGCACTTGCAAAGTCCATTTTGTTTTCCAGTTCAAAGGAATATCCAATCAAGATCAAAGCCAATCCAGTATGTTGAATAGATGAGTTTCGTTCAAATGTATACCGAAGACATTGGCGTATGCTTCCAAATGGATCTACCCTAAAGTTATTTAGGAGTTTACATATGTTTGAATCATTTTTGTCGATTTCGCTTTCCATTAGCACCAACTTTCTGTATAAAGTTACTATTTCCAATTCCTCACTGTTAGCAATTTCAAAGAAATATTTACTCCATGTTTTTGGATTTCCTATTATTTTGTGTGTTAAAGCTTTTAAAGCGTCTATCTTGCTTTCGTTTTCTGCCAATTCTGAATATGTCAGATAACAGAGGTAATGAAATACTACATTTGAGTCTAGTTCAATGCCAAACTTTTTATGAAATGAGTTGTTATCATTAACGTCTGGCAATCTACTGGTCCGAAAATATGCAACAGACCGTCTCAGTCCTAATGGACAACACCAAATGTCTTTTCTCTTAAACTCAACACAAAAGGAATATGCCTCACTGCTGCAGATATCACCGAGTGTGTACTCGGACATTTTGTAGTACTCATTCCACAATGATGAATGTGCTTGTAAGTACATAAAACACGCCGGTAAATTAAAAGTGTCAGAAAAATATATTTTACGAAGTTCATTTAAAACCTGTAAGGATTTATCGTATTCCGAATTACAGCAGAATACTGACGCTAGTTTTAATCTGCTCGATGTGGCATCAGTCTGAAATCCGATTCTGAACATATCCACGATATCTTCTGATATTGGCTGCTTCTTTTTTATTCTATATGCTGCTAAAAGTGAGGCATGTTTCAACAAATAGTGCGGCAGCATTAGCTTAGCTACAACTTGCTCCGTGTCAGCTTTGTTAGCAATAATGTTTAGAAGTTCTTTAATTAACCTAAATCCAATAATTGTCTGTTTCTTCAATGTTTGTTTTGCTTTAAACATATATACATACGGAAACCTTGAATATTCAATAAAATATTGGTTTCTGTCAAATATTATTTCTGCAATGATTCGCTTTTCAATATATTCTCGTGGCAGAAAGAAGCTTGGACTTATTATTGATCGGTGATTAAGCATTCTTAGTCCTATATCATCAACTCGAATTTGTAACAGGCATAGTAGATTTCCATTTAGAAGATCCTCTACAATTTTACTTAGCCTTTTACAGAACAACGGAGTCATTTTTCCAATAAACAAATTCACAGAAGGGTCAAAGAAATGAGGACAATAATGACTCGACAGAAAATGTTGAAGTGTAGATAAACAGCTTGATATGCAGTCCAACAAACGATCCCTTTTCCAAAGGGATGGTGAAGTTCTCGCTATCGTGTAAAACATTATTGTTTTGCAGTGATAACTTGTAAACTTATCACCTACAATCGGTTGAAGGAACGTTTTCTTTATCAGCTTTAATATAACTAAACATCTCAGCTGTGTTATATTGAAATCAAATATGAACAACCTCTCTGCAAACGAATAAGATAATCGCCACTCGATGTTAGCAGTTTCACTTTGCGGGTGGCCAATAGGTACAACCAGACCATTTACCTCTTTTACTTTGTCAATAAGTTGTTTTGTAGGCCATGAATATGAATGAAACCGTTTTATGATTTCACTTGACATCAACAGATTGCTAGGTACTAGGATTGCTTTGATATGATCAGTGTTTCTTTCACTTGATGAAGGCCCATTCTTTATCATTGGTGATAATCCACTCATATCCATAGTAAATTGGAAGTGTTCCTCTATGTGAGCGTACGGAATAAAACGATCGCCCTTATGATCAACAAAATAACGTTCATAACGTTCAGGTACTGCATATGCTTTAAGTTTGCAATATCCATTTGGTGCTGATTTCTCTATCATAACCTTAAACAAACATTGTGTGTTCTTTACATTTGACTGTACGATCGAATACAGGGAAGGGCACAAGTAGACCAGATCGATGTCAGAATTTATACCCAATGTTGTTGAACCTTCAATTCTACTTCCAAAATGGCATATTTTGTAATTCTTAAAAGATGGAATGTTAAAATACTTTGCCATCAGATTATTCCCTATCTCTTTTATAACTTCAGATTGGTGGTACAGCTCTCGTCGTTTTGCCACTGTCTCTTCATTTACACCGACATTCTCAAGAACATGAGACAAACAATTAGAGACCGCTTTAGCAAAACTTGGAATAGCCATCTTCTGCAATAAGATATATACATTTGTAAAACATGTCTTTAAGATGAAATACACTTTGTTATTGTACGCTTCTGTCAATTCATCATTCTTGAATATATTTAAAATTTTCTTAAACATAAATAAATGAACTGACAAAAGATCAAAAGATGCTAGCAACATTTTATTTAAGAAATTATATATCCAAAACAGTAATTTTATCGCTCAATAAAATCACTGTTTGGAGTTCGGGTGCAAGGAATTATATCACGAGGGCGTAGCCCGAGTGATATAATGATGCGCATCCGAACGATAAACTGTGATTTTATCAAGCGATAAAATCACCGATTTGGATAAATTATTTCAAATTTAACACGACATCACATATAAATGCTGCCGTACCTGATATTAAGCTAAATTTTGCCTGATTTGTTACCGTATTTATTTTCAGCTCGTGACATTTTGAGTGGTTATGTCACGTCTAAATATAGAACACCAAACAGTGATTTTATTGCATACTAACACACACTTTAACTTCTATGTTCAATAAGGAAAAATGCGGGTACGGGTATTGTTAGAATTCATTACATATACTGCGGCGAAGAGTAAACAACCATTTTATAAAGATCATTTTGATAACTATCTATATTTGTTTCATTTATATTGATAATCGTGATTCCTTTTTATGGATGAAGCAATATCATTCTAGCTTAGTTTGTATTTATTTGAACTAAAACGATGTGCAGTAAATTAAATGATTATCTTGTCTACTAAGATTAGATTAATCATACAGATTTTGAATCTGACAATTCTTGTAGTCTACTATTCTTGTAAGCACTTCTGTTACATGCAAGTCATATAGCATTTGAAAACTTTTGTTGGTATAAAAGTTTACAGTTTGAGATATGTCGCCTTTTAAAATACTAGAGTCAGTCTTTTCGAAACGTTACATACGGTTAAATAACAAGTATTTATCAATTATTTACATAATATTGTTTGTGTTCTATGCTCTTATCGTTCAATTATGTTTGCGTTTTGTAAATTTTGTGAAATTTCTTACTAAATAAGGTCTTCGCAAGATTTTATTCCATTGCCAAAACTAACACTTTTAATGATATCCGTGATACACAAGAATATCAATAAATAAAGTTTTTTTTCTGAAAGCTTAAAGATCTTAAATTTCTGAATAAATTCAAGTTTTTTTCTGAGTCTTCGTTATCCCATTAACTTTTAAAAAAGTGATACAAATTAACTGAACCTGTAAACTTCCGATAGTGTGTATATCTCGTTGTGATTTGTAACCAACTGAAGTTGTAAGTTTTCCTTTTTTTGTTTATTGTCCTATAAAAGTTCAAGTATCAATGCATTGGTGTCTTTCACGATAATATTGGGCACAACTAAACAATGAAATAGGTTATTAAACTAAATGTCTGATTAATCGAGCTCCGTGACCCCTATTTGTTTTGGCTCAAAAATATCTGTTTCATTTTTTAAGTTATAAGATTGTTTGTATTTTTTATTGTCTATTATCTATTTGTCTGAATTAGACTGCAATATACACCTTTTGATTGGACCTTCTTTAATTTCACATCGCTATGCATGTATAAATTGATCATTCTTCAAACAAAAAGTGCAAAAGTAGACCACGAGTTCTTTAAATATTTTATACGACCATAAAACGTTTTACTCTATCTGTTTCTTATTTTATATCTCTCAGTATTTGTCAAAATGCATACCGGTATAACTGGTATCAAACAATTGCACTTCAAATTTCAAGAGTACTATCAAATCTGTTTAAAAATGCTACACGACTTGATGATAAAAATGCATTTGAACTATTGACAAATAAAAAAAATATAGTTTTCTATTGTTATTTATTTCTTTTTCTCTTGTTACCAGTAACGAATATTTATTTCGACTTGGTTCTAAATGTTTGTTTTATTATGTATATTTTGATCGTAAAAGTACGGAAGAGCATTAGTGTCAGGTGTATGTTTTTTATTAACTCGAAATATCGAGCTACTTACTCGAAATTTCAAGTAACTAACTCGAAATTTCGACTTACTTATCTCGAAATTTCAAGTTTTTTATCTCGACATTTCGACTTACTTACTCGAAATTTCGAGTTAGTAACTCGAAATTTCGACTTAGTAACTCGAAATTTCGACTTAGTTACTCGAAATTTCTAATTACTAACTCGAAATTTTGACTTATTAACTCGAAATTTCGACTTATATTGTACGAGTTTCATTGGTTACCGGTGAAAGCAAGGATTGAATTCAAGATATTTTCTTTCGTCTGCAGCTGTTGCAAATTGACAGAGCACCAATGTATTTAGCAGAACAATTTTTATAGGGTCAAATTGACCACATATACTGAACATATCCTTTGTTTTTTGTGGAGGGGGGATGTAAAATCACACTTTCCACATTTCCGTGTTAACCGGATATTTCTTTTTCTAAAGCACACATACAACCATCATGTGGAGATACAACAAGTCCAAAACCCACCCTATTGTAAACTGTGCAACAATCATGTGTTAAATAAGTTTTAAATGGCGTGAATACGCTAGTTAGTCTGTTACGTCTCTTTATACTTAAAATGTTTTTGTAACATTATTAAGACATTGATTCATATTGTGTTGGTAAACGTTGATAAAAGTTGAACCTGTAGGGAATAAAATAAACGCATCCGATTTTACAAGAAATATAGTCAGTCCAACAATTTTTACAAAGGCCCAAGTACCCCTATTTTTGCCACTCCGTGATACTTTCCTCAGATGTCCCACACGTGAAGTATAGGATCGTTTTATTCACATAGATGATAAGAATATAATTAGTGAAAAGATATGGTCAAACAAGTAGGATACAATACAACGTCTGAAGAACGCCTGAACGTACAAATTAAAGAAAGCCTTTTGTTTTTTTAAGTCAGGCGTGAACATGCCATTACTAAGTTTAAGTTTAACTTTAATAGTTTGTCCAGGCACCCGTTTCTCCATCTCCATCGTTCAACCGCACTCCCTACTATATCTTATATATCGAAACACATGGTAACTCATAAATTTGACCATTCTAGTAATGTTAAAAGTCAAGATTTCGAGTTAGTAAGTCGAAATTTCGAGATAGGAAACTCGAAATTTTGAGTTAGTATGTCAAAATTTCGTGTTAGTAACTCGAAATTTCGAGTTAATAAGAAACATACACCTGGCTCTAATGCTCCTCCGTATAAAAGACTGTATTATTATTATTCTTTTCATTACTTTTTTTACTGTACATTATTCCTTTAATAATTGTACAACAGGAAGATCTTAAGCTAGCATTGTGCTTGATTATTCAATCGTGATGTCAACGTGTAATTCAATACCTTAATATATCAACCAATTTCAGTTGCGTTTCGATAGACATAACAAACTTAGTTCTGCTTCAATAACCTTTACTACTAAATATCTGCACCAATATGTGCATAAATGTATGATTTGTTAGATCTTAAAGAATTTTATTTCTTTGTTCATTCATTGATAAAATCAATATTAACAATGGACGAGAAATCAATTCATCAAGTTTATACATCTATACACGAATATGGCTATATTATAACTTGACTAAGTAAACAAAATTTGTCAATGCTTTATTGTTTAATAGAATTATTTAATCAAGTTTGGGTCGGCATAAACAATCACTTATCAGTTGTATTAAAAACAATGTCTTACTAACAAAGTCATATATAATAAATGTATGTACCCTAAACAATATTTTGATAAATGGAAAATGGTAAATAAATAAGCAACAACAATGTAGTAAAGTAATATTCTTAAATGTAGAAATAAAACTTAGATGTAATTACCAGCGACAAGTTATTTCCTTTCTGGTGAAACACAAGGTTTAAAATACGTACTGATTAACAGGGCAACGCTAGCAACTGTCGTTAATGTATTGATTTTTATGTTTGGTTGTATCAGATTAAAGCGAGACAACTCTTCGTTCAAAATAGTTAAACGATGTTTATATCTTTAATAACGTGTTCATAAACTATGTAAAGAGGTATTTGCTAACAAAAGCGCCTGATCAGAAATATAAAGCAGAAATATAGAGGATATTGAATGAGTGTAAATTTGATACTACATTTATTGAACAAGTTGAATGAAATCATCTTATGCAGCATAATATTGGTTTATTCAACCGTTGAATAAATGTAGCAGATAAAATCTTATATTTATAATATATCTATAAAAGGAACGGTTTACAGTTGGAACGATTCATTTTTCATTGATGCGCCTTTAGTTTAAAGCTAACACTAGTGTGCTTTAACGCAATGATTGTATTTAATGCAAATAACGATAAGATTAATTTCAATAGTGTTATATCGATAAGATTAATTACAATAGTATCATACCGTTTGTTTATTAAATTGCTTTATTACACACCAGCGTCTAAGTATATGTGATAAATTGATTATAAATTCACATTTATATACAAAAATACTTAAGAAAAGCACATATTGTTAGGTTAATGTACAGGTTGAAAAGTAGTGGAAATAATTAAACCTAATACATCGATTATTAATAATTAAAATCCTGTTTTATGTCCTCCATTTTTGTCATTGGCTTACATTTAGATACAATCTATTTAGGTAAATGTATCCTATTTTAATTAAGTATTGGTAACTAAGGATATAATAATGCAAATGGTTCCAAGAAAAATATGTTTGTACGGCATAAGATCGTTCTTTGAATAGATTTTCTATGCTTACTTGCCGTTAATGTATGCAGGTCATGATTAGTTTCTCTCATACTAAGGAAATAATTAAAACATAAAGCATGTAAAGAGATCGAATGTTTTGTGATGTTATTGATTTAACAGACTAATGATTAATAGAAAAATCATTGACTTTACTTCAAATAGTTGTTATAAAAGTGACAATACAAGGTTCTTTATATAGGTCTAATTTAAAAAATCAAAGTTTTTATTAGCTATAACTATTGAAATGAATATAGATTCTGCATATATTTTCATATAAATCGGCCAGATAATACAACTCAAACGTTAACTGAACTATTTTAGGAAATGATTTCAGGAAATCAATTACACATATGTCTTGACAATTAACAAGATTATATATGATAAAAAAGAGGGCCATGATGGCCCGAGGTCGCTCACCTGTATATAGGCCCCCCTGGAATGGGGCCAGTTTAAACCCCCAGGGCTTTTATTTGAATAAACTTGGAAGACACCCATTAGAAGATGTTTCATGATGTTAAGTTTTTACTATACACATATAATGAAAAACAAAGATCACCCCCGCAGGGCCTTTTTAACCCAAGGGCTTTTATTTGAACAAACTTGGTAGACACCCATAAGAAGATGTTTCATGCTTAACATCTAACCTCTAGCTCATGGGTTTTTTTGAAAGAAGATTATTTAAGTTTTTACTATACACATATAGTTAAAAACAATGACACCCCTGGGGCGGCGTCAGTTTTGACTAAAGGGTTTTTATTTGAACAAACTTTGTAGACATTTACTAGAAGATGTTTCATGCTTAATATCTAAACTCTAGCTATTTGGGTTTTTTCAAAGAAGATTTTTAAGTTTCGCTATACACATATTAGGAAAATCAACGGACCCCGGGACGGGGCAAATGTTGACCCCAGGGCTTTAATCTCAACAAACTTTGTAGACACTCACCTAGAAAATGATTCATGCTTAATATCTAAACTCTAGCTATTTAGTTTTTTTTTTCAAAGAAGTCTTTTAACGTTTTTGCTATACACATATAAGGAAAATCAATGACTCCCAGAGCGGGGCCAATTTGACCCCAGGACTTTTATTTGGACAATCTTGGTAGACACTCATTAGAAGATGTTTCATGTTTGATATCTTAGCTCTAGCTCTTTGGGTTCTTTAAAAGAAGATTTTTTTAAGTTTTTACAGCTGTGAAAATATTACTTTTTCATAGATTAAGCCGATGCTTGGGGCGTTGGCGGTAGCTTGCATTACCCTGTACCGTCCATGAACATACACAGTTAAAAATAATAACAATTATGAATAGCAGACGTTTGATGTTTTGGCTTTGAAGACAATTTTGATAGACTTCTATGACCTGTGAATATTCTAGAAATACAGATTTAGTATGCAAATGATGTTTCTTTATACATTTAAAAGACATTATTCTAGAACTAAGAAACACGCGTCTGTATCGTAACGACTGAATAAATGACAACTATTATTGTTTACAGTAGTTTAAAGCAGTTATTATGATTTTTATTGTCATGAATCAATTTTGATACAGCAATTATATAAATCGATCAACAACCATTAGTTTATAATCGCTCCTAAACAAAACAGTAAAAGGGTTTTGGTCGTTAATATTCGTTCCTTAGCATAACAGTAAAACAGTTTTGATCTTATCATAACAAAGTTCTCGGAAAATCTCGGATCAAACGAGATGCGCTTTCCTTCGGGAAACTGAAAACATCAGCGCTGCAATAGATTACCGACATACATAAATAACGAGTTCTTGCAAAGGCCTATCCAGGCCGTTCCCAAAAGGTATCAAGCTGAAACAAGAAAGAATATGTTACAATATCAGTCTTCTTTCCTTTATTTAGGATTTAAGATTATTCTTACATTCATTACGTTCATTTTATGTTTCCATAAGATATAGATATACTATGACAAACATTATGCTTATAACTATACAAGTATAGAATAAGTAAAATATTTTACTTCTTTCGCAATGTGTGTTCAGGCGGTAGCAAATTTCCTTGTTCGTCTAAGAATCTCTCTGGCGAAATATCCATGGATCTCCCCAAATGTCCGTGTTGTGGTGCATATACCACATATTCCCAATTATCTTTAACAAAAACAAAATGTGTTTTTCGGTCGAATGTTCCACTATCGCTCACTTTCTGACTTGTCTGAAGTGACGTGAGTGTATTCAGTGAGCTGCGAAGGGAGCGTAATATCTATTAACTAACTTGGGTATTGTTGTTCCTATTACAATGCTGCAAACACAAAGGTTAATTGGCGCTAATTAAATTAAGGTTGCATTACGTTTTTCGCAGCTTTAAAATTTATAAAGAGAGTTTTACACACCTTAAAATTTCAACAATGAAAACGATACGCAACATATTATAAAGTATAATTGACACTTGACACTTGTTAATTGAGAAGACCGATCGGTAGATTAATTAACATAGTAACGAATCCTCAGTTGTTTGGTCAGGTGGAAACAAAACTTGCACGTGTCAACAATTTCATAGCACAAGTGTGGGATATTGTTTAATGGTTTTATCGAATCTTGAAATCAACGAATTTTCGGCCCCATATATTATTTTACCTGGAAATTGAAATCCACAAATTTACGAACCCACGAAATTGTCTTTTGCCGACAAACCGCGAAAAGTTATGCCCTCGAATTAAAATGATTTCACAGTATAAATTGTTATAAATGACAAGTTTATTTGTTTTGAAATTCATACATCTGGGCAAGAAAAAGTGAATAATTATTTTGGAAAATATATTTTCACGGTGTTTATATTTTAAATTGACACTTTTTGGTAACAATTTGATGTTTTGTTTCTTTTATATAACAGAGAACCTTTGAAAGAGGAACAGCTCGTGGTATCGTATATGTATTTGTAGAGGAACAAAATAGCAAACAGAAGCTGGGGGAGAGATTTTCTTCACAGACAAATTGAATACAATTATAGCACAAGTGATTGACATAATAGATGGGGATGAACATTATTATACTATTAAAAAGAGCTATTATCTCTAGAACATATGATGCTCAGAGTAATACACATGTTTTTTGCTTCACAATTTTTCGAGCAACTTTTGACAATGATATAAAGCACATTTATTTTTGACCTAAGAATTGATAAAGACATAGAACTGTTCTTGTTTATGTCATTATGTTTGTATTGATTAGTCCCTGTATTAGTGTAAGATAGGTTAACTGCTATGTTTCCTAACAAGATGTGCATCTTTGCTTTCATTATATATTATATTTTATGTTTTGATTTTTGTTACAAAGAAATAGAACTAGATGTCCTCATTTAGTTAGAATAAGTGTATTTAATCGCATACCGTCCGTTGCTGTCACACTAAGTCTACTTTTAAGTTTTATCAAAATCCATTTTGACTTGAATTAATAATTGTTTTGTTTCATCACATGCTTTAGTTAAGAAATAATATATCCAAAACTGTGATTTTATTGCTCAATAACATCACTGTTTAGAGTTCGGATGCCAGGAATTATATCACAAGGGCGTAGCCCGAGTGATATAATGATGCGCATCCGAACGACAAACAGTGATGTTATCAAGCAATAAAATCACCGATTTGGATATATTATTTCGATTCTAACACGACATCAACAAATAAATGCTGCTGTACCTGATATTTAGCTAAATTGCGCCTGATTTGTTTCCGTACTTATTGTCAGCGCGTCACATTTTTAGTGGTTACGCCACGTGTATTATGATTACGTCACATGTCTAAATATAGAACGTCAAACAGTGATTTTATAGCATAATAACACACACTTTCGGTTCTTCTATGTTCAATAGGGAAAAATGCGAGTCGTGTTAGAATATACAATAAATAACGAAATTATCATGTAATAAAGCAACTATTAAATAAAATAACATTCACATAGCTTTATTTAGAAATGGTAAGAAAAATAAGATGTGTATGCTAAATATCAAAGATTTCTTTCTTTTCTTTGCTCCTTTTTACTCTGAATTATTCTTACCCTTTTTTACCATAGGAATCACAACAACTTGGTCAGTTCTTAAAAATACAATGTTGATCTTACTGAATCGCCCGCAATATCAGCAGTTGCTTAAGGATGAGTTTGACAGGGAAATTGGGATAGAACGATTGCCGACATTTAATAGGAGTAATTGAGTCATTGCTCATTTCTAAAACATTCCAGATTGGAGGTGTGTAAAGACATAACAGTTGTTCCTCTTACGTTGTCTCACAAATGCAAAA